GTGGGCAGCGGCGCCCCGCGCGGGCGCTGCGGTCCGGCGCTGAGAGGTGAGTCCGCCCAAGTCCCGCGCGGACGGGGCACAGCTGGCTGCCAACGGGAGGCCCAGGCGGGCCGCTGGTCCCAGGCGAGGTGACACACGTGTGCGGGTCCTGGGCAGGGCTGAGGGCTCGGAGGCCGAACATAGCTTCTGCACAGCCCTGTCTGCTTGAGAGCGGGAATGGGAAGGGAGACTGTGCGCAGGTTAAAGGTTTCTGGCTGCTGCTTCTGTAGACTCTGAGGTGCTTAAAGTCATGGGGAGAGCTTTGTGACATTGTGGGCTAGGGTTGCAACCACGTAGCTAACTGTCGGCCTGTATATCCCTCTTGAGTCTTAGCTTACTCTCTGTAAAACAGCTTGATAACTTAAGGCCGGACCTGTTTGAAGGTACCCTGAAAAAGAAAGATGCGTATCAGTATAATAGCCGTTAGCCAAGCATAGTGACGCACACCTGTAAACCCCGAAGTCGGGAGGCTGAGGCCAGAGGATCATAAGTTCAAGGCCAGCCTGTGCTGCATAGTGAAAGCCTGTCATGAAAAAGAGGGAGAAATCTGTTACAATATCTTTTTTGGCAAATATATTCTAGATCCTTTGTAGGCCTAGGTTTTTTCTGTTAAAAGCAATGTGTTAACTTGCATTTTTTTTAATGAATTATAAGCCTGCCCTACCTTGAAAATAGTTAAGCCAAGAAACCAAAAGGTGGACGGACTTGCCTTAAGCTCTTTTCTTTGTCATCCACAATAAATTGGGGGGGGGGGTTGAACTGTGTTATGTGCCTGTACCAATTCTCCACAATGAATTTAATCATTCTATACTGCAAACATGTACTAATACAATTTAAAAGTAAGTTAGTGTATTTTGGTATAGGCAGGTTCCTTCCTTTCTGCTAGGTTTGTGTGTGCTTCTGTCACTGAAACTAGGAAAAGATGTTACTGCTTAGTAATTTGGCTTTTGGTTTTTATTTCTCCAATCAAACCTCTTTAGAGAAAAGGTTGTGTTTTTTGGTCGTTTTTTTTTTTTTTTTATGATTTATTTTAGCTGGGAGAGGACCAAGGATCGTGTGTTGAGCCTTTATTGTTGAGGACACAGTACTAGAAGTCACAATTCCAGCCTCTTGGAACTGCCAGCAACTCAGGTGGTAACTGTTCTGCCGATTTTGCACCAGGCATTTAGTACACATTCACTTCTTGCTCCCTCAGGATCCATGGTCCAACGCAGGGTTTGTAATGAAGCTGGGTACTGTAAAGGGTAAGAGCTGAGAGAGAACAGCCCAACAGCCAAATTTCCACCCAGGAACTACATAATGAAATAGTCTGGCTTCTTTGAACCTCAGTTTTCCCATCTGAAAAATGCTATCTACCTTGTAGAGTTTCGAATTTAAAGGAGATCCTCATGTGAACCAGTTAAAAGAGTGGCTAACTAGTGGGTGGTAGGTGTTAGTGGCATGCAAGATGGTGAGTGCTGTGATAGAGGGTTATTGGGGGGTGCAGGGATCAAGGAGTCTGTGGAAGGGTAGGAGGAGTAGGCAGTTTAGCAAGGAACAGCTTTTTAATCCAAATCTAGGCACTAAGCACTTTCAGAAGGCATGAAGAAGCCTAAGATCATTTAAGACAGCCTTCCTTTGTGAAAGTTGCATTCTAGTGTATGTAATTAATATATGCTGCATTCCAAGGCAGGCTGTCTTGGATTTTGTTTCTCCAATCAGACCTCTTTAGAGAAAAGGTTGTGTTTTTTGTTTTATTTCATTTTTTGAATGATTTATTTTAGTTGGAAGAGGACCCTCAGCACTGGTCTGAACAACTAGGCACCGTGGAGAAGGACATACTGGTCTAATACAACCTCAGCTGATACTAGTTTGCGATATCTATGCAGTCTTACCAAATCAATTATAAAACAGAAAACCAGGTAATATTCAGTAATTATTGTCAGAGACATCACACAGTACAAATCTTAAATGCCATTGAAACAGCTTTTACAGATGGCCAAAATCAGTACAGTAAATGATGAATGAAAAAGTCTGCCCACCTGCATGAGTGTCAACAGCTTTTGCTGAGATCTCCCAGAGTATGGATTCAGGAAGTGGTCTGTGGTGACCAATTGAGTAGATGTGAGGGTGAGGTAGTCCAGAAAGTGGAATTTGATGATTCATAGTGGTTTAATTGATCCACAGACACTAGTGTTTAAGATGTGTGTGAATAATTGGAATGAAATTGTTTTGTGAATTAGTAAATTACTGGTATATACTTTAAATTTAAATACGTATGAAGGCCTGGCATGGTGGCACACGCCTATAATCCCAGCACTCAGGAGGCTGAGGGAGGAGGATCATTGCAAGTTGCAGGCCAGCCTGGGCTACAAAGTGAGTTCAAGTCCAGCCTGAACTGCATAGTGAAACCCTGTCTTTAAAAGATGGAAAAAAAAAGACATTCACCTTTCATCTGCAACCCTTTTTGTGATGTGTGAATGCCTAAAGTTGACTAAAATTTTTCCGCCTAATTTTCCCATTACAAGAGTAAGATTTCTTAAATTTGATTTTACCTATTAGTTGAAAGTTTAGCAGATACTACCTGTTGCTCTGTTTTTCTACCACTACCTGTTGTTCTGTTTTTCTACCAAAACAAAGACATTGCAAAGACATTGTGTACTGGCAGAGTTTAGAACACACTACAAATAACTTCCCTGGGTAATTCCTCATATAGGAGTCAAACACAGAAGCTACCCTTTCACTGAAATCCTGCAGTGTTTGTAATAAAGACACCTCTGCTTATACAAGCAAAACGCTAACTTTGGGAGATTTTGTAATTAACGAAGTGTCATGAAATATTCCCTGAGTTGTTTTTGAGCTAAGCTGGTGCTGCATTCATTTCAGAGTAATGTCATATACAGTGTACATTGGTCACATGGCTACTTATATTAAAATTAATTAAAATTGACAGCTCAGTTCCTCAGTTGTGCTAGCTACATTTTGATTGCTCAGAAGCCTTGAGTGGCTGATGGCTGCTATACTGAGTAATGCAGACTGAGGAACTTCTATCCTTGTGAGTTGCTCTTGGGACAGTACCACTCCAGAATAAAAGCTGAAAATCACCTCATTCTGAGACACATAAGCACCCATATACAAATGTGTTTTGTTTTGTTCTGTTTTGTGGTGCTGGGATTGAGCCCAGAGCCTCATGACCACTAGGTGGATACTCTACCACTGAGCTGCCCCCCCTAAGCCACACACAAATGTGCTAATGTCATTAAAGCATCTGTGAGACCTCACATTTGAGTTGTTTCAGGGACAGTAGAAAGTGTAGGAAAACATGTTCCCCTTACTCTCAGCGAGCAGAACATCCTGTTTCTTCTGTGTCAGGTAGCATGCATGAAAGTTCTCCTGTATGGTCAAACTAGTAAACAGCATAAATATCCCTTTTATATAAGTTGTACTATGCTTTTCTGTACTGTGTAAAAATGTGGTTTTCTGTATAAAATAGGTATTAAAGGAGGAATCAGACGTGTGACTTTTTTGGTTCATAAATTGGGAAAAAAATCATGAGCTTGAAGTAAACTTTCAGGAATTCTGAGCACAAGCTAGATAGTACTTCCTTTATTTTTTATGAGTTTCAAAGATAAGAAAAGCTGGGCATGGTGGCACATGCCTGTAATCCCAGCACACTAGAGGCTGAGGAAGCTGAGGCAGGAGTACAAGGCCAACCTGGGCTACATAGTGAGTTCAAGGCCAGCCTGAACTTATCAAGACCTTGTCTTAAAAAAAAAAAGATGAGAAAAGCCTAGGAGACTCTCCATCTGTTTGGGGAAACTGAGGATCAGTTGTGGCTAGCGTAACCACCCTTTCTTGAGAGGTAGGGCCTGGGAATAACAGCAAATTTGTTTATTGTGGTTGTGTTCAGAGGGTGATTAGACATAGGAGTGTGGCCGGGCATGGTGGTACATGCCTGTAATCCCAGCACTCAGGAGGAGGATCGTTGTGAGTTCAAAACCAACCTGGGTTACAAAGTGAGGTCAAGCCAGCCTGAACTGCATAGTGAGACCCTGTCTCAAGAAAAAAAAAAAAAAAAAATAGAGATAGGAGTGTTGACATGGTCCAGTTCAGAAGTGACTTGTGCAGCTTGCAGTGAGAATGGAGAAGCAGGAATTGTTCCATTACCCTAGCAACCTTTTTTTTTTTAAGTCTAAGATTTTAAGTCATGTTTAGAGTAGGATTTGGCTCCTTAGAAGTAAGAGAAAGAAAATAATCTTAAGATAATGGTTAGGTTTCTTGCTTTTAAGGATAATAGCACTATGGAGTTGGCTAGGTAAAGTAGGAGCAAGAAGAGATTCTGAAGGGAAGATTAATTCTCCAGTGAGCACACTGACTGATGCTTTTGTGTTTTCTAAGTAGAAATGCCTTGTGAAGCTCTAAAGCTGAGGACAGGGTTTGACTGAGGACAGCAAGTAGTAGCATGCAATAAGGAGTGTGAAGAATGAGGAGCAGAGAGTGGACAAGGAGAACCAGAAGGCAGGCTTGTGAAGGGGAATAGGCAAGGGAGGAGAGGGTTTGGTGGGGGGTGAACAGTGTTCACAACTGTAAAGGACAGTGGTGACAATGCTTGCTGCATCAGACAGGATTGAGGACACTACTCTTGAGTAATCCACTGAGTTGAGCAGGTCTGGTGGGCAGGGTGAAGAGACGGGGAAAGATTTGGAATGGCAGGGCTGGGAAAATGCTACATGGAAAGTAATTGCCCAGAAAAGACTTGAGGGACATTGCAGAGGGCCCAGATGGCGTTGGAGAAGATGTTTCTGGTAGCTTCTGCTGTGTTTCATGATTCCCATATGCTCCCCACTGCTGGCAAAGCTCCAGGTCCTGCTTTTCCTCCTGAGTCCCAGCCATGAACTCATTCATGTGCCATTTTGTTCCTTAAGACACCATGGGAAACAGCATAGCTTCTAGTTTAAGCGTGTGACTGTCAGTCTGGGCAGAGACTGATATGAAAGGTTATCAAAATTTTAAAGTTAAGGGGCTGGGGATTTAGCTCAGCGGCAAAGTAGCCTGCCTGGCAAGTGCAAGGTCATGAGTTCGATTCCTGGTGCCGGAAGAAGAACAAAACAAAAAAAAACTACTAACATTTGGGGGCTGGGGATTTAGCTCAGCAGCACAGCGCCTTCCTGGCAAGTGCAAGCAAGGTCATGAGTTCCATTCCCAGTACCGGGAAAAAAAAACAATAAAAATTAAAAAAGAATTTAAAGTTAAGTGAGCTATCACAAACTGAGTAGTGTGGTTCATTTATTTTTCAGCTATGATTTATATTTTTACAAAGCTTTATCATGATCAATGCAAAGACTAGATTTTTATTTTAGGTCCTACTTAAAGTGACTTTTTGATATACCACAAATAGAGATAGCTAATAATTGAACACCTAGGAGGGTCTTTACATGAATCCTATTTAACAAGAGCAAAAAATGCAGTTTTTAAGCATAAATTTACCGTTGGAAATACACATTTACTCAAAAAAAGAAATCTAGCCAGTATAGTGGCACACCTGTAATCCCTAGTGGCTGAGGCAGGCGAATTACTTTGAGTTTAAGGCCAGCCTGGACTACAAAGTGAGTTCAAGGACAGCCTGAACTCATAGTGAGACCCTCTCTCAAAAAGACCAAAAGAGCTGGGTGTGGTGGTGTTACCAAACCTGTAATCCCAGCACTCAAGAGGCTGAGACAGGAGGATCATTGGGATTTCGAGACCAGCCTGGGCTACAAAGTGAGCTCAAGTCCAACCTGAACTGCATAGCAAGACCCTGTCTCAAAAAAAAAAAAAAAAAAATCCAGTGAACAGACTCGAGAAATGGACTTGATTCTATGGTGTGCTTTCCTGGATTTATCTTGAAATCACCCCAGATCAGTGCTCCTGCCCTTTTCGAGAGGGACTGTCCATATAGCGTTGGGCATTGCACAGGACTGTGCACTGCCTGTTGTGACATGGGTTGGAGGTGCCTCCCAAACATCTTCTACCAATCATTTGCATTTAGACATAAGTGGTTAAGGTTAGGATGTGATTTGTGACTACTGACAATATTTACCAGGCCAAGTCTGTATTGCCATCACCTTTAAAAATTTGCCCCCATATTTCTGTGGTTATTGTTGAGAGCATGGCTGTGGTTTCTCTTTCATAGCCACTTTATTGAAGAGTTGGTGGAACAATAGGCAGCTATTGTAATATGAGAAATAGATACACACTGTGTCAGAATCTTCATTTTTATTTCCAGAGGTACTAATAATGTGATAGAGGAAAAGGGTGTTAGACACTTGAAAGATTAAGGAATATTATGCAAGTTGAAAATTACAGGAACTCTTGATATTTTAAAAACTATGTAACTATATTGAACTTAATTTACACTGAAGATTTTATAATTATAGGAAAAGCTAGGCAAGTCACTTGAAGTTGCAGTATTCCTCTGAGTCTCTCAAGAGACTTGGATCTATTTTAAGGAGGTTTTTTTTCCCCTTCACATGTCCATTTATGGATTTTAGTATGATGAAAATCATTTGGGGGGGCTGGTTTCTCTGAGGAATTCTTCAGTATTTATTTCACGTCAACTATGTGTATTGGAATAAAATGAACAAGGTTGATTAAATCACATCTCTGGCAGTTGAGTTACATAACAGTATATATACCACATAATATGTAAGAGTTACAGTACTGCCCAATTCCTGCCTTGCTATCCTTGCCCTCCAATTGGCTCACTGCCCAATCTCAGGAAGAGTCTGTTGTCAGAAATGCTGATTGGATTGAGATTGCCACTTGGGGCTGTTAATTGGGGCATGTTCTTTTTGTTTTGTTTTGTATTGTTTTTTGTTTGTAGGCAGAGCCTCACAATGTAGTGCAGGCTGGGCTTGAACTTACTGTATAGCCCAGGCTGGCCTCGAACTCAAGGTAATCCTCCTGCCTCAGCCTCCAAAGTGCTGGGATTACAGGTGTGCACCACCACACCCAATAGAGTCATGTTCTTTAGAATCAATATTCACTGACTAGTTTCTCCCAGTCCTAGGTACAACCAGATTTTACCATTGTTAATTGGTTGTTTCTGTTTACTCTTTTTAAAAAAATAACTTTCCTATGAGTCCTTTCCCCTCCCCTGCATACACGCATGTGTACTGTCCCACTTTGAGGACAACATGTCCTCACAGTGTCTTTTCTCTCTGCCATCAGTAGATCCTATGTCTGAACATGTAGTTTTTCCTATCAGAGCCCTGATTGGAATTCTCACAGACGTGTGGGCACATTCATGATGCCATACCAACAAGAGATGGCAGTAAAAGTCTGGAGAGGTCTTGGTCTCATCCAAGTATGGCATCAGGCTGATTTGAGAGAGTAGCACACTAGGTACTCTTGAATTAGAATTAAAAGCAGTGTTAGCAGATGTTATGGGGATGTAGGAAAGGTCCCTCAAATTAACTGGTTCACATGAGCTCTAGGGCGAAGTTATTTGTGTATGTACCTATTCATGTGTAGCCAGGCTAGAGAATGTAGAAATCTTAGTCAGATATAGTCAGACTAATACAGTAGTGCTGATTAATGGCCACAAAGAAACAGTCTTCACTTTTGGGCAAGTGATGCTAAGTGCAGGGTTATCACTCTGAATCAGAGTCCTTGTGTGAGCAATAAAAAAAAAGAATACTAATTTAAAAATCCTAATTTAAAAATTTAAATTTCACTGCTACAGTGAAAGAATAATGGACCATCATAAAGAGAAGCTAATTCCATAATAAAAAGATAGTTCAGTATTGGAAAGTAATAGTGCTTTTTAAAAAAATTTTGGTACTGGGGATTGAATCTAGGACCTTTGCAGCAAGCTACATCCCCCTCCTATTTTTTTATTTTGAGACAAGGCCTCTCTGATTTATCTGGGCTGGGCTCAAACTCGCAATCCTTCTGCCTCAGCCTTCCAGAGTGCTGGGATGCTGGGCCTGTGGCACACACACAGCTTAGTGGGTTTTGCTATATCACTAAATCACAACCTCATCAAACCCACTGTCCTTTCTTTCTGACAGATGTTTCATACTCCTTGTGGTAATCCAGAAATAAAGTAAATAGATAGAATAATCTCTGTGCTCATACTTTGACATAAATATGATGTCCTAATGTTTTGCTTGTAAATGTGTGTGTACTGGGCCGGGCCTGGTGGTACATACCTGTAATGGAGGCTGAAGCAGGAGGATCGTTGAAAGTTTGAGACCAGCCTGGGGTACAAAGTGAGCTCAAGGCCAGCCTGAATTGCAGAGTGAGACCCTGTCTCAAAAAGAGAGGTGTATGTGCTTTCTAACCTTCACTGCTTTCCCTGTTGTGTGACTTCTGTAGAACTGAAATGAGTCTTCAGAGTCTTGCTGCAGACCCCTTTGGAAGGAAGGAGCACTTACACATGATCCAGAGGCAATGTGTCTGCACAGTAATTCTGCAAAGCATTTATTTGGCTGTTCATATGTATGGTACACTAAAAAGTTGCAGATGTGTAAAAGTTATAGATAGAAATGAACTTTGGAAAAATATTTTAAGAAAAAATAGCAAATTTCTGGAGAAGGTGGAATTTTAAATCTTAAAGAATGGAACTCTCAAAAGGAAAAAGCTGTTACATATAGCTGGACTGAAAACTTAAACCCAGCCATATCAGTGATAAAACTTGGCCCCCACCCCAACCTGGAAACCCTTGTTCAGAGAATGTTACTTTGGCAGGCATGGCCACATATATACCTTCAGAATGGACAGTATATTTTGATTGTTTAGTAAAAAATATATCTTACTTTACAGACATGGTCCTAGAAAATTCATCCCAATGCCATTTGGCTTCTGCTGCAGTTTCCTTCTGGCAAGGTAGTGTTTAAGGCCAGGGCAATACTGGAAGTTTCCATCATTCTTGATAATAAACTTAGTAATAAAAAAAAACTAATCCCTTTTTTCTCTTACCTCTGTCCTCCTCTGTTTTGTTTTGGTTTCATTTTTGATGAGCCCTCAAATTAGCCTAAATTATTATTATTGCTTTTCAGCTCACTTCCTACCACTTCACTTTCCTTTTTTTTTTTTTTTTCTTTTTTCTAGGGGTGGGGGGGACAAGGTCTTGCTATGCAGTTCAGACTGGCCTCAGACTCGCTACAGTCTTCCTGCCTCAGCCCCCCGAGTGCTGGGATAAGAGATGTGCGCTGCCATGCCCAGCCCACTTTCCTTTCTCACTGGAATTTATGAGACATGTTTTAACATATGCACATGCCCTCTTACAGTTTTGATTTTTTTTTGTACCTGTAATTCAAATAAAACAGGACAGAGAAAGATAATTGATTAAAATGAAAACATACTAATCAAACATAGTAGGAGCTGACAGACTTTTCCTGGCTATTAGGAAAGAAGTTTTACATCCCTGCCCATTACTGACTTCTCACTTTGTCAATATCTACTTCATAGGTCTTTGATTTTGTTTTGTGGGTTCAGTGCTAATTAGTACGTCTCAGAACAGGAAGGAGAAATGAAAGGCCTACTTAAACTGTCCCTATTCTACTGGCCCTACTTGCTTGTTAGCAGCTCTAGTGAAAGATCAATGGGGTGACTGAAACCATGGTATTCAACTGACTTTGGGGATAACCAGTGTGGCGTATGTATGCATCATCGAAATTGGCTAGATAGCCATGGCAAAAAATAAAGTGGAAGAGTGCCAGGTTGTTGATCAAGAATTTTATATTTGGGGCTGGGGATTTAGCTCAGCAGCACAGCACCTGCCTGGCAAGCGCAAGGTCGTGAGTTCGATTCCTGGTACCAGAAAAAAAAACAAAACAAAAAAAGAAAGAAAGAAAGAATTTTATGTTTGTGTCCTAACTGGGCACTGAAGCAGCCCTGTGGCCACAGTCTTCCTCACCTGACCTCTTGGTTCTCACCCTGTGGTTCCTGTCCAGGTCATGAAACGGGTGCGCACCGAGCACGTCCAGATGGCAGTGTCCTGCTACCTCAAGCGCCGGCAGTATGTGGATTCCGATGGCCCCCTGAAGCAAGGCCTGCGTCTGTCTCAGACTGCTGAGGAGATGGCAGCCAACCTCACAGGTGACCATGTGGGCCTGGAGCAGGATCTGTGTTGGTGGTGCATGGAGTACCTTCTTCTACTGGACAGAGAGCAGGCTTCCCAGTGTTGCTCTTTCCTACCCCTGGCTGGATGGTACTTCCTTCCCCAGAGCCGGTGTTATCTGTACCTGATGATTTTTACAGGGTTCCTGTCCTACAAGACCCTGGGGAAAGGGCCTTGGCCACAGACCTCAAGTTTGCAAACTGAGAAGAGTACTGAGATAAGCTGTAGGAAATACTGGTATTGCAGATGCATCCTGAGATTTTTTAAATTTGTTTTGCTGTAGTTTTGAAATCAGATTCTGTAGAAAAGCTGATTTTGACTACATCTGGAATACCTGTTTTGTGAGTTCGGGTTTTTCTGTGATGTGGTTTTCTTATATTGAATTTGTGTAGTATTGGAGATGTGGGGAAGCTGCTGTGGTACTTCAGAACAGTTATGAACTAGGTTAATGGCTTTGTGGAGTTGGAGTGGCTCAGCCCTGGGTCCTCTTATATATGAACAGACGGGGTTTTCCTTTGTTCCTAGACTTCACTCTTCCAAATACCTGTCACCACCTGCCCCTCTTTTATTGGTTTCATGCTTAGTCCTGGTAGTAGCAGTTGGTTCAGCTCCCCTTCACACTGCCCTCAGAGTCAAGAACTTGGACTTTTTGTACTTTAAGTGTGTATTGCCTTCACTACAGGGCAAAGTGAAGGGCAGCAAAAACCTGATGATATCCTCACTGTGGTCCATGGCTTGCTCTAAGACTATAGCACAAGTCTAGATGAATCTGCTCACATGTTCTTTAAAGCCAGACCCACCCATTCTTCTCACCTTCAGCCCCCAGAGAGTTGCCCTGCACAGAATCAGGGCCAGGTGATGGCTTTGGCATAGAATAGCAGGTGCCTCATCTCTAATACAATCAGGATGGCAAGGCCTGGAATGATTCCTTCTGAACTTGCCCTCACAGCCCTTGGTGTGTGTGCAGTCTCCTGCCACCTGCATTGAGTGCCCCTGTGATGCTGATGGCAAGTAGAAGAGAGCACCACTGAGCTGGAAAGTCTGCATCACTGCGGGAAGCCTCCAGGAACAGTAACACAGTGCAACCTGGTCCTAAGTTTCTGTCCTGGTCTTTCTGCTAACTGGGGATCTGAGTGATGGAATTTTCATCAGCAAAACTTTACTGCAGACACCTGCTAAGAAATATAACAGGAGCCGGGCGTGGTGGTGCCTGTAATCCCAGCACTTGGGAAACTAAGGTAGGAGGATCACTTCGAGTTCAAGGTCAGCCTGGACTCAAAGTGAGCTGAAAGCCAGCCTGAACTATGTAGCAAGACTCTGTCTCAAAAAGACCAAAAATAACTAACAAAATAAAATAAAAAATGTGACAGCCGGGATTGTTCCAGTGGGAAGTCAGAGGTTGTAGGAGGGTATAGTGTGGTCAGCTCTGGCACACACGAGTAGAGAAGGTGCTCATCTGGTTAGGCTAGAGGGCAAGGAAGGCTTCCTAAGAGACTTCATACTTCCCGTTGAATCAGCCAACATTGGCAATAGTGGAAGAATTTCAGTTTCAGGGCAATCTTAGCCTACCTGGGCAAGTCGGAAGCAGATATGCAAGGCATGGAAGGCAGACTTTAGGAGGTTCATGGTGATGACAGTACTGACTAGAGAGGGCCCAGGCCGGCGTCAGGGAGAATAAGTAGAAGGTGTAATCTGGAAACAAGTGAGGACATTCTAAGTCGCAGTGGAAATGGAGAGGAGAGAGTAAGTTTCAGGAATCTATAGGACCTTGCGACAGGAAGGAAAAGGAGGGAACACCCCTTCATGTGTGATCTTCCTGCAGATACATCTGCTCTGACTATCTCTCAGACCCCTGATACTGCTCATCCGTACCCCCATTTCTGTGTACTTTGTGTGCTGGCTTCCTTGGGCTTGTTGACCCTGTTTCCACTCTTCCATATGTCTTCTACTATCTGGAGTGTGTTCCTGTTTTATTTAGGTCTTTGTTAGCTGTGGTTTCTTCCCAGATGCCTTTCTCCAGTATCCCATTCTCCCCTGCAGAAAGCGCAAGGGACTTGGAGTTTTCTCTTTAGAAATCACAAACTCACAGAAAGAAGTGCATGTCTATATACTGAATGTTGAGACTCCAGCCCTCTTCTCCCAGTCAGCTTCGCCCAATTGCCCATCCTGAACACCGTAACCAGTCATACTCAAGGAAGCAAGTGAAAGATTGTCCCTTAGGTTTCTGGCTTGTCCAGGACAAAAACAAAACAAAACAAAGACATTAGAGTCGAAGTTGACCATCCAGGTCATTCTGAGTGATGAACCATCCCACCCTCAGTTTCCACCAACCCAAGGAAGCCAACTATCATCATTGTTGCCTAGAGGTAAGATGATACTTTGGGGGGAAAAGGAACACTCTGAATGTATTAAAGTGTCTACTAAAGATGTAATAGTTAAAAGAAAAAATCAGCAAAAGAGTTGCAAGTTGAAATTTCCTAGAAAGTAGAGCAGAAAAACAAAGATATGGAGTGTTAAAGTCTCAGGAGAGCCAACTTCGACATCACGGGAGTCTCAGAAAACAGAACTTGCAATCCTTTCTTGAACTTGTAAGACTTTCCTGAAAACCGCTGTGTCTTAACTGCAGACAGCTCAGTGGTGCTCTCTTCTACTTGCCATCAGCAGCACAGGGGCACTCAATGCAGGTGGCAGGAGACTGCACACACACCAAGGGCTGTGAGGGCAAGTTCAGAAGGAATCATTCCAGGCCTTGCCATCCTGATTGTATTAGAGATGAGGCACCTGCTATTCTATGCCAAAGCCATCACCTGGCCCTGATTCTGTGCAGGGCAACTCTCTGGGGGCTGAAGGTGAGAAGAATGGGTGGATCTGGCTTTAAAGAACATGTGAGCAGATTCATCTAGACTTGTGCTATAGTCTCAGAGCAAGCCATGGATCACACTGAGGACATCATCAGGTTTTTGCTGGCCTCCACTTCGTCCTGTAGTGAAGGCAATACACAATTAATGTAGGGAGTGACTAAAAATGATTGGAGAAAATTTCTCAAAACTGGAATGCACAAACCCCAGGTTGGAAGGCCGCAGTGCACAGCACAGAGGTTGGCAGCCATTTTCTTGTCAAACAGAACCAGATGTTTCCAGATGTACTTCACCAGGACACACAGGCCTGCCCTCTTCTTCTGCTTAGCTGCCCTGTTTTCTTCCTTCCTATCCTCTCCCTCATTTCTCTGGGTCAGATGAGGGGGAAGGAGACAAGACAGCCTATGCATTTCATCAGGACCAGCACATTCCAAGTCTAGCGAGACAGCACCTGCAGCTGACATGGTCTCGGTCTGACACCCTTCTTTCCTCCCACCACATTCACTAATTGGCTACTAATTGTCTTCCCACTCCTATCTTGTCTTTCCCTCTTTAGTCCAGTCAGAGTCTGGTTGTGCCAACATAGTGTCTGCAGCCCCTTGCCAGGCAGAACCCCAGCAATACGAAGTACAGTTTGGGCGGCTGCGGAATTTTCTCACTGGTAAGTACTCAGCACTGGGAACTTTCCTCACTGAGAAACAGAGTAATGTAGATGTCCCTGGGAACCTGCTGTGTTGTGGGTGTGGTAGCACCCAGGGATTCAGAGGAACTCTGACATAATTCTCATGTGCAGACATGGTCTCTGGAATTCCTGAGAGTTACAGCATGAGGTTAAAGTTTATAAGGCAAGGAGAGAGCTCTGGGCGTTGTACTCACTGCTTTGTCCATGGCCTTTAGTCCAATGGCTTCTGGGTTTTTTGTTGTTGTTGTTGTTGTCTTTGTCTTTTTGAGACAGGGTCTTGCTATGCAGTTCAGGCTGGCCTTGAGCTCACTTTGTAGCCCACGCTGGCCTCGAACCCACAACGATCCTCCTGCCTCAGCCTCCCAAGTGCTGGGATTACAAATGTGTGCCACCACACCTGGCTCCAGTGGCTGATGTTGAATAAAAAAAAGCTAAATCAGCCGTGTAGAGAAATGTCATTAAATGTAGCCCATTTGAAACATACATCATTCAGTACCTTTGCTAGTACTGTACATCTCAGAATGCCTTTGCATACTCTTATTTCCAGAATGTAAGATAGTAGTCCTCCTGAGTCAGGAGCAGAGTTAGAAGTGGTCTTGTAGAGCAGTCCTCAGCTTTCAGAAGGATGTAAAGCACACAGAGTCAGCAGCTCTGCATTCTAGGCAGCTCTTTTTTTTGGAGGGGTGCTCTGTTTGAGACAGGGTCTTGCAATGCGGTTCAGGCTGGTCTTTAACTTACTTTGTAGCCCAGGCTAGCCTCCAACTCGAAGCAGTCCTCCTGCCTCAGCCTCCCAAATGCTGGGATTACAGATGTGGGATACCACGCCCAGCTTAGGCAGCTCTTCTAACTCACTGATTTTTTTTGTAAGACACTTAAACAAGACCCTTAACCTCTCTGAGACTTTAATTTCCTCATATATGAGATTGAAAAAGACAGTGGGAGCCAGGCGTGGTGGGACACGCATGTAATCCCAGCACTTGGGAGGCTGAGGCAGGAGGATCGTTGTGAGTTCGAGGCCAGCCTGAACTGTATAGGGAGACCCTGTCTCAAAAAAAAAAAAAAAAGAAAAAAAGAAAAGAAAAAGGCAGTGGGAAGGCTAAATCAAGCCATCTCATCCTAATATGCCCGGTTATAATATAAATGTTGAGAAGAAAACTCTTTCTGCCCTCAAGGGATGGAGAATAATTAGCAGACATTGGTTAGCAATAAATTATAGTGTTTTGTTTTGTTTTGTGTTTTGGTGAGAGGATCTCACTGTGTAATTTAGGCTGTCCTTGAGGTCACTGTATGGCCCAGGCTGGCCTTGAACTCACAGCAATCCTCCTGCTTCAGCCTCCTGGGTACTGGTAGTTTAAAATTATTGAGCTTGTTTTTCTTTGTTTGAACAATCTTTGAATTAATAGTTTTTTTGTTTTTTTGGTTTTTTATTTTAAAGAGTAAAAGAAGGATAACATAATAATAGGAGGGGCTTACCA